TCTCCGCCCTGGGTCAGAATCCGCCGCGCGGGCCGTCTCCCGAGACCGGAACGGCAAAAGCGCAACGACGAAGAGCGAGCGGCGCGCCCAAAGTCAGACCAGCCCGTTTTTTTTTTTGTTTTTGTTCCCGCAGCGGACCTTTGCGGCGACGCCAACGCCAACGGCGGCCAGAAGCGGAAGTCGGTGTTCGTGCCCTACCGAGACTCGGTGTTGACGTGGCTGCTGAAGGACAGCCTGGGCGGCAACTCCAAGACCATCGTGATCGCGAGTACGCAAAGAGCTCCTCGCAACTCTTGACAGACCTCCGACTTCTGTTCAACCGACGACGGATCGTTTTGTTTTGTTTTGGTTGACGTCTGACGACAGGCGCAGTCTGAAAGATGACTGCCACTCGACTGCGTTGAAAAAAAAAAAAACAAACCAAAAAAACCCTTGAACGAAAGGATTCTTTGGTGTTTCGTGCCGAGTCTGCCGCTGCGCTCATCTTTCAGACGGCTCTGCCGGACTCGCCCACCGCGCTCAGCGTGGAGGAGAAGCTGCACCGGAACGAAGCCAAGGTCGGTACACGCCAACGCGATGGATGGCAAAACGATTGACGGCCGTGAACACATTCGAACCCTTTGACGTCTAAAAGCGTCCATTGACGCATAGCCCCCGCCTCCCAATGACGACGTCTAATGGGGGAGGGCGCAAGAAAGTCTGATGCAACTTCTCACCGAAGGAGCGGGCTTGACTGCAATGTGAAATAGTCCAAAAAACGGCCAGCAGGTGGCAGTGGCGCAAAAGTCCATTTGCAATTTCGTTGATAGTTCGATCGTTTTTTTTTGATGTGCCCGAAACTTATTTTCCCCGAAAAAAAATTTTTGGGCGATGTTTTGTCGGAGGAACACATGATTGAGGTATTTGAGCTGTCACAAAAGCAAAATGTTCTCATGCTTTCCCCCCGCGAACAGTTGTTGCGCAATCCCCCAAAAGCAAACGCTGGTCGCCGTGCGCGCAGGTGCTGGCGCTGACCAAGGAGTGGACCAACAAGTGGAACGAGACGCAGAACATCCTCAAGGTACTTTTTGGCGGCGGCGGCGGCGGCGGCGGCACCCGAGCGTGACAAGAGCGACGTGTGCGCCCAGGAGGAGACGCTGGCGCTGCGCAAGGAGGGCATCGGCGTGGTCCTGGACTCGCAGTTGCCGCACCTCCTCGGCATCGACGACGACCCGCTCAGCACCGGCGTCGTCCTCTACCGCCTCAAGGTCTCCAAAGCCGCCGCCCACCGCGCCAACCCTGGCGACGCGCTCGCAACGTCTCCTGTGCTTCTCCGCCGTCCGTCCGTCAGGAGGGACGAACGTCCGTGGGCAGGGAGGACGCCGCCACCGAGCAGGACATCGGTAGACTCCCAAACGCACACTCGCGCCATCGCACCGGAGGCGTGCGGTCAGGGGGAGGCAGGTGAGGCAGAGCCTCACCTCTGAATTCGCATTGCATTGCGCAATCAGACGTGAGGCTCTCGCATTGCATTGCATTGCGCAATCAGAGGTGAGGCAGAGAGGCAGAGAGCCTCACCTCTGATTGCGCAATGCAATGCGCATTCAGAGGTGAGGCAGAGCCTCACCTGTGATTGCGCAATCATCACAAACCGGGTCGATACGTGCGACTGGCTCGTGCTGCGTGCCGTATACATTGTATTTGCATGTCGCAAATATAATGTTTAGCCGATTGAATAAGCTCCCCTTTCTGCTTGATATATTTGTCAATCTGACACCAAAGGAGTCAGCGCCTCACCAAGCACGAACCTCACCGCACGCCACCGCTTGATCACACCATCCAGGTTTTACTGATCTGGCGCTTTCGCGACAGTTGCGGCCGTCACGAGCGAGCGCTTTCAAATCCCCGACGATATCCGTCCCGGGCGGCACGGGGGGGGGGGGGGGG